AAAAGAAACACCTTCAATAATGTTCATTCGTGATGATGCAATAAAAGGTATCAAAAACAACACTTTACTCCCAAAAGAAACACCTTCAATAATAATGTTCATTCGTGATGATACAATAAAAGGTATCAAAAACAACACTTTACTCCCAAAAGAAACACCTTCAATAATAATGTTCATTCACGATGATGCAATAAAAGGTATCAAAAACAACACTATACTCCCAAAAGAAACACCTTCAATAATGTTCATTCGTGATGATGCAGAGTTTAAAAGAGTTGGCCAGTCTGCCTACCTCTTGTACAAAACAGTAGAATTGTTCATGTTCAGGCAGGTATTTACTGCACTTACAGTGACAAGTTAGCATTGTTGAGCCTTCCTCAGTCATCTTTATTGAAAGGACTGATAAAAAAATAGTTTTATAGAGCTGACAGACCAGATCTTTCATTGCACAATACATGAATTGACTACCATTTAGGGTTTGGGTTTTACTTCTTCATAGCCTGGAATTTAGAGCAAATTTGGCCAGATATTGCACGGATTTAAAATCTCTATTCAAAATAGAAAATAAGAGAGTAATGTCAAGATATGTTTGGGAATCAACCCACTAAACACATCCCCCTGACTTGCAAACTGGGTGTTAAATTGATGCCAAAAATGAATATGTAAATTCTTTCTACATAAAATTGAAATTTTTTAATACTGAAATGCACTGTAAACTGTAAATGAAAAAAAAAAGCTTCAAAATTCATTTCACGGTGAACAAAGATTCTATGTATGATTCTGGAATGAACACTAGGGATAAATATCATTAGTCACCAAGTGAGTATGTAGTAGGCATAATATATGTAACAGCAACTGTTACTTTTTGAGATCCCTTAGAATGAATTATAGCACATGTGGCAAAACTGAAACATCATAAAAACGTATAAGTTCAAACCTATCTCTTGACTATAAAGTTCAAAATCTGTCTATGAATGATCTCAAAAGGAATTTTTTTACCCTTGGAATCAGTTTATCCCTAAAATTACCAAGGGGTTTATGAACCCCATCAGCTTTTTTCAAATATATTTTTCTAAACTATTAATTCACCAAATTGCTTGTGAATGTTGGTTATAGGGTATTTACACCAAAATGTGTAAACGAAAATATAACATCAATATTGGAATGAATTCCACTACTAAATATTCCCTATGTATTTTACGTAGAAAAAAATCAGTTATTTCTCCACTTTTTGTTCTGTTCTTTAGAGACAAGATCACAAAGTTAATCAATATTGTGTAATATGTGAATGGTATTAGCAATGAATATCACACACACACAAAAAGTTCATAACCTTAAGGATATTTAGCAACATTAAAATTAATAGATATGTTCAAACTGTTATTTCATCTTCATTTAGAGTTTGATATAACCAGAACCACTATACTGACACAAGATGGGTTGATATAACCAGAACCACTATACTGACACAAGATAGGTTGATATAACCAGAACCACTATACTGACACAAGATAGGTTGATATAACCAGAACAACTATACTGACAC